GTCCGCTCTGGGGCCTGCGGGCTGCAGGCCGGGGAACGGCCCCGCGTCACGGCGGCAGCTGCTCGGCGTGGGCAGGCGGTCGGCGGTTGTAAGTATTGTTCATGCTCATGGGGCTCCTGAGAGGCTGGCGAGTTTTTTGCCAGTCTTTGACCGAACGTTGAGAAAATACCCCGAACAAAGAATTGCGCAGACTGAGAGAATTGCCCCTGATCTCCATCTTGTTTGTCAGAAAAACACGATTGTGAGTAAACACTGAGGAAGACACGTGATCACAAGCGGCTCGAGGGGAAGTCTTGTGCACTGTTTTGTATCAAACCGTACCAAAACATGGAGGCATAAAAGCTCAAGCCGTAGGTAGAAGTGTTATCGTATAGTTCTAAGGTAAAAAACTTGAATTTAGGAGCTGGGAGTGAAGTGTGTGCTTCTCACTGATGGAGGGTACAAGAATGCTTTAAGCTGTTAATAGAAAGCATGGATGAATACCTCAGATTGCCCCTCATTTCTCAGTAGAGCGGGTCAGGACAGAAGAGAGGACTGAGAGGTTTTTATTTGAAATATCTGTTGTTTTGTGTTATTTTTACCTTTGAGATTTCACTTCTTTCCTGCAAACACCTCTTGGATTTTTTTATCTCTTGTTATCTCTATCCGTGGCTGTGTTGGTCTGGTTGATCTTTTATAATGTAGTTGGAGGGATGACAGAGCAAGAAGTGCAGGATATTTGATCTGTGTACTCAAAATAGGCTGTTCATCTCCACCTCTGGTTACAAGTTGGTCATTTGTTTCTGAGGTACAACTTTAAAGTTTGTTTTCAGAACTTGTTGCGTGAGACTTGGTAAAAAAACATCGTATGTATTTCAGGAGACACAAGAGTTGTTTCCAGATTTCTCCATAAGGTTTTGATTGCTAAACTGTGTGACATGTATGAGCTGATGAAATATGTTGCTTTGATGAGAAAGAGGGCTTTTCAGCCTGCTGTTCCCTTTCTCGTTTATCTGTTGTTGGATACCAGTGTGAGTAGTGTCAAAATGATGGAAAAGCCAGAAGTGTTTTGCCAGGATAGTGTGTTTGTTGAGGTTGCTCCTTGAAGGACACAGCAGGTGTATTTGAGTAAGGTGTTCTTTTCCTTTGTGGCAACAGCAGGCTTTTAAATCAGTTCAGACTGCAATGCAATTTGGATTTTTTTTTCATTATTATTTGTTCCTCTGAGAAGTCATTTAGGTATTTTTTGGCCTCACTACCTTCTGTGTAAATTGAGGTGATTGCTTTGTCATTATGGAACTCATTACAGCATGTTAATTACCACTTGGGATTTGTTGAATTCCTGTAAACAAAATGTTCTAGGTTTTAATTTGGGTGTCTTTGCAGTCATTCAAAAACCCCCCAAACCCTTAAGATGCTGATACTGTAAAAGGGAACCATTCTCATTTTAAAATATCCTATAAACCCACGATATTCCCCTTGCGGACAAGTGTTGTGGCTTTAATAACTTTTTTTTTATTGTGAGATATCTGTCTTGTTCTGCGCTGTGTTCTGTGATAGCTTAGCATGTTTGCTTTGACTATCTCATTGTGTTACCATGATCAACGTAAGCCTTATGTATGTATTGTGTGTATTAAAGGCAACTGTGAAGACAGTTGCTTCTCCAGATTTCAAGGTACAGTGCTTAAAATGGTTTTCAAAGAACTCTGGACAAAAAAACCCCAAAACCCCAGAAGACTCCTTATTAGTGTTGATTACGAAAGTTGGGATGCCTAGTATCTAGTTTTATCTGTGATATATTCAAGTCATGTCTCTATTGACTTCAGTTGCAGATAGAGGCTTTCATGATTTCTGCTAGTTGGATTACAACTAGATTTTATTTTGAATGCCCAGAAATTGAAGAGCTCTTGTGCTTTTTAAAAAAAGAATCTGAATAACAGGATTCATGTCACTGAATCTTTGTTGAAAGGCAAAGATAAAATCCAGTTTCCTTGAGCAGTTCTTTGCCTAGAACCTAAGGCCTTTTTTTCAGTACCTTTCCACCTCTGCATCAAACAAGGCAGGGTTGCTCTTATCAAATGCCTATTCTTACACAACTCTTGATTCATCTTTATAGCTGATCCTTCTTGTTTGCTGACTGAGGCCAGGACTACAGAAAAAAATGTATGGTTGTATTAAATAAATTAATAATATGTATGCATAAACTGACATACTAAATTTTGAATTTTCTAACATGCTGCCTTTATCTTGTTTTAGCACCTTTTTGTGTATAGTTTCTGCAAGATTTCTTTACTTGGAGAAAGAAAATACTATATAGGTAGTATAATCCTGGAATATTCAGGTTGAAATCACAACCTGTGCTAATTTACAAGATTAAGCTGATTGATAATGTCCTCTTGGGGTTACAGTTGGAGGAGAAAATTAGTCCTGTGCTTTATGTGTGTTTGTAGAAGCAATTTGCTAATCTTGGGACTCCATTTCAGCTTCTAGAAATAGCTGGCCATAATATTCTATCCTGTCCTTTCCTATTTGAATGATCTTCTTTTGTCTGTTCTTTGTATGGTACATAAGCAATTTTATAAGTGCTAGACGATCTCTAATTTAGTCTTGAAGTTCTCATAACTTTTTATGCTTCTGTTGTCTTCTCTTGTTTGTGGGGACATTAATATCTACTGGTAGGAGCTTCCATCCCTTCTTCTAGAACATCTGTATATTGTACACAAGTCTGTCTGTTATTTAATTCATCTGGTTCCACACCTGTCTGAAGCAAAGTGATCTAGAAGCAGAATGATTCATAACAAAAGTGATAATGCTGGCGCTCTTTGTCAAGTAACTTAATAGTACAGAATTGGATCCATTATTCTGTGTGTCTGTCCCTTATATTTTGTATCAGGATAAAATGTAGATAAACAGTGCTTTGGATGTCAGATCTCATTGAGACCTACAGCTGTCCAGTCTACCATACACCCTAGTCTATATTACTTTGACATTAGATTCATGGTTTGCATAGTTACTTTTCCTACCCGGTGCAGCTTCAGGCAAGTACTAGACTTGCAGTGCACATTATGGCAGACTAATCTAAAGCTTAAATTAACCGTCATTACAGTGTCTTATCTAATGTAACAAATATGAAGAAATATGATTGCTACATTTTATGCATAAATGATCCACTTGAAGTGGTGTAGTTTAGATTATTAGATTTGTCCTTACCGAATTTCTATTAAATTTCCACTGTTGACAGTGTTGTTCTGTACTTTGGAACATTGCTTAGAGCATTCTTACTGATATGAATGTATTTACAACATTGAGAATTGCATACAGTTGCTCAGTGTTTACTTAGGAGTTTAAATGTGATCTGGGAAGTTTAACAAATTCATTATTTCAGGTTCCTAATCTTAAATCAGACCAGTGAGAATTTCAGATTCCTGAACTGATTTTGGTGACATCTCTGGAAGAAGCAAATGGGTTGCTAATGTCTGAAGCAGGGTCTTAGAAGCTGGTGTGCTTCTTGGTAATACAACCCAGTAGCTCTTTTGTACATGAAAGTAAACATTCACTTAAACTTGGTATGCTTTATGTTGCAGGGTTTTTTACCAAATAAAAAAAGTCGTCTTACTTGCAAGATAAAGCATTTAGGCTACATCGTGTTGTGACCTGTGTTGTAAAGCTAGCAACTGAACACACCAGAACAGTGGTTAAAAACCCTTCTATTAAACAAAGTAACCTCAGCTGTTCAGTCAGTGGAGGTCTGTACAAGGTAGCTTTTACCAGGAGAATAGGTAATGCAGCGTGACTTTCAGCTAAGATTAAAAGTACAGAGCATGTGAACTCGAAACTGTGGCCAGACATGAGGTACATTGGGGTTGATGCAGCAGCATGTCACAGACTTGTGTTACTGATGGGCATGGCTGATGTGTGGAAAAAAAGTGCTTTACTGATGACTTTTTTTTTCTGATGTAGTTTATTCCCATTCTCAGAAGGTTAAGCCAGAATAAAAAATGGTTAAATAAACCAGATTGTACCACTTCTGCAAATCACCCTGTACCAGTGGAGTTCCCGGCCATCTGTTTTAGAGTTGTTAGTTATCATGCTACTCTTCCTGCACCACACCACTGAGAATACTGCAGTTCTCTTAAATTTTTTTAAGAGCTACCTTTTGCGGTCTGATTCTGTCTGTACCATCCTGAGGACGAAGAATCTGCGAATGCTAGCAAACGGGTTAGCCACCTGGCTGGAGTTTTTGAGCAGCATTAAGCCAAGATATCCTTTCAAGAACAGGAATGACTGTGGGATCACTTCTCAAGTGGAAAAGGCACCAATGTTTCTTTTGAAATGCCTAGAAATACCAAAAGAGCAAATAAAAACTCAGTGACACAAAGGTAGATTTATGTTTATACCTGTGAGACCACATGTCCTCTTCTGTATACATGAATTTTCATGGGAGTTATCTTTGGACAAGTTAAATATTTCTTTGAGGCAGGTAGACTGCAAGTGTGGTTTTTTTTCATGGGAAGGTGAAGTTTCATAGTTTTGACCCTGAAGGGTAAGTCAGTGTAATTTCTGCAAGTGTTGAGACATACTTGATTAACAAAAATGTAATACATGAATATAGGAAATCTGAGGACTCTTTCCCTGAATCCTGGCTGATTTGGTGATAATATAGTACTGCAGAGTTCTTAAGGGAGTTCCCCATGTCATATAATAGCAAGAATATATTGTAATATAATAATAAGAATAGCAAAAGGGGCTATGTTTCTAGTTCTCTACAATGGAATGGGAGAAAATGTAAATAAGGTGTTACAAAGACTAGGATAAGAACTCATTTCCCCATCTTACTGATGCACAGTCAGACCAAAGTGCTGTGTAAATATTTGTATGTATGAGTCATATTTATGATACACTCAGAATTACTAGTGCATGTTTTGTCTGTAGGTCCTTGCTTCTACAATAAAAAATAACCAGTGTGTCTTTGTACAGGATACAAAGAATGGAGTCAAAACCCTCAAGAATTCCTCGAAGGATATCTGTTCAGGCTTCCAGCTCTTCGCTAGGATCTAGAACATTGACTGGAAACAGTTTAGCTGGTGCCTATAGTGCAAGAGAATCTTCACAGAGATTAGAACCTGGATACCAGGTAATATGTTTTGTCTCTTTCTGTAAAGTGTAAATTAATTTAATGCCTGTGTTACACCAAAGGAAACTCTAAAACCCAGATACACACAAAGGAAAGAAAAAAAGAAATGTGAAGAAAAGTCCCACCCAGGGCCTTGCATTTATGAACAAAACCCGAAATTAATTCTGCAGTGGAAGGGTTTAATTACCAGGCTAATGACAGTATTCTGCAGTGCGAACTGGTAGTTCTAGGTTTGCCATCTTTACTTGCTTTTGTTTGTAAAAATCAGCTGTTTGGTGAATGAGGGGCATCCTGGTGCTATGGATCTCTTTTCAGCAGTAATCACTGCAGTCTTAAACCCTGGCAGATGGGGTTTTCTGTTGAGGGTAGGTGAGTGAGGTTTTCATTTGAGTTTTGAGGTGTGTAGGGCATTATAGTCTTCATATGTGGGTGATGCACAAAGTACAGGAATATGTTGACGTTCTAAGAGTTGACAGTAGGCTGTACTACTGCTCTGCAGCACCTACTTTGCATTTTGTGAAGGTAGAACTGGACCTTAAGGCTTACACTGTACTGTGTCAGGATGTCAGTGCAGGCAGGCTTTGTGTGCAGTGGACAGGACTGGGGTAAATGCATTTGACATTTCCCCTGCAGCATTTTACACTAACCAAATCGCTGTTGTAGGGGAAGGGAGCCATGCTCAAGAATAAGAAGTCACACTCTGCAGGTACTTTCATTTTGGAAGAGTGTTATGGGAAGTAGAGATGAAACCACTTCAGAAATTTTTTTGGGGCACTTGGAAATAACAGGTGGCTGACTGGCTCAGTTATCTTATTCTTTTGTTTCTGCTCCTGTCAGCAGTTCTCATCTCAGTTTTGTGCCCAGAAATGTTTAAGCCCATCTTGATCTTTGAAATTGCAGAAACTTAACTCAGTGATCAACTGTCATATTTTTGCGTAAAATGGTTATGAGTTTGGTCCCTGCTGACAAGCTTTCTGGGACACTGTATTATATAATGCCTTTTCCAGAAATGGTTTTACAAGTAATAGAGCATGAATTATATTTAGCACAATTCTATGTATATGCGTTATATTTTGCCATATCTAGTGTGCATGTGGTCATTAGCATATAGGCTATAGGGAGTGTCTAAGGGTAGTCTTCAGTCATTTTTGGTTTTGGATTCCTACACATTTTTTGCTGGCTGGCTGCTCAGCAAAAGCAAGTCAGGTAGCCTTACTCTTTTGTAGGGATTTATGGACCTACACAGTTTGCATACCACACTGAAAGCTGTTGATTAGAATATGAGTTTGAGATGAACTGGTGGTATGAAGTTAGATGTGTTAAGTTAGATGTGCTTTTATGGAATTATAACACCAGAAAGTTATATACTTTACATTATTTCATTTATTACATGAAATACAGTGTGTTCACTGTACTGCATATTATCTTTCTGACTACTTCCTGTTGAGCACAGTGCTTCTGTCTGAGGAGTGATCTTTACAATGTGTTTCAGTTAAAAGGCAGGGGAGAATAATTGTATAGAGACGATGTTGTATCCCTTCTTTACACTCCATTTCCTAGAAGGTAGTCTGTGAGGTTGTCACACAAGACTAGTGCTTAGGGATAAAAGCATTAGAAAGCACTCTCTCTTGACTAACTTGAGGTACTTAGATATGGTAGGAGCAAATTGCATTATTGCTAGCAGGTTAAGATTGCAAGTGGCTGGGGCAAGAAGAAACAAATAGTCTAAATAAGATTAAGTCCAGTCAGATAGGAATGAAATGGGCAGGCCTTTTTGCTTTGTTAATCCATTCAGAAGCCTACCTTAAAACATTAAAAGCTGCTTCAGTTGCAAATCATTTAAAAGATCTGTCATTTAGAAGAGACAGGTGTATGATTGAGTAGTGCTTTGGTGTAGAGGAAAGAACTTGGAGACTTGGCTTTTTAATATGAAGTAATTTCTGAAGCCAGAGACCATACTTGATTATAATTTAACTCAAAAACTTTTTGAGGCAGAGCAGTCAAACTTTGAGTATTTTGTTTCGACTAGGGCTAAAGAAAAAAAAGGTTTCTTTTGGGTGGGTTTGTTGTCCTTCCCCTTCTTTCTTTTTTTTATATAGGTATGAATTCTTAGATGTGATAAACTTTTGAGACTAGGCTGGGTAGTAGCCTCTGCTTACACGAGGAGGTGTAACAAGCAGGTTAATTGTAAACTAATCTTGATGTATGTGACATAGTGTTTCTAAGTGACTTAGAAAAATAAAATTAGTGTAATGGTATGAAAAAAATATTCCTTTGCTTAACGATGCAACATTGTAAACCATTTAATGAGAAATGAAGTGGCAATTTGTTGGGATTGTTTTTTTTTTTTTTAATGGAGAGATAGGTCAAATGGGATGTATGAAATTGTTTTCAACGTTTTCCTGGTTACATTTTTCTCCTACTGAAAATAGACATGAAAAATAGAATACCTTTTGTAATGCTTTAATTGTGAAGTTCTGACAAGGGATATTAACTATCCTTAAACTGAGCTGAAGAAAGCAAGCAAACAGTGTTTTGTTTTGTTTTTTAGTTTCAGATACAGCAATTAGGTTGAGCTTTCCTGACACCATGCCTGATGGTCTACTTTCTCTTAAAGTCAGTTTTTTGATACCCAATATGTGGCTAGTTTTCTTTTGATTTTGGCCTTGGGACATCTTTCAGAGCATAGCACCGTGATGGCACAGCTACCAGAATCTGTGTTGGCTTTAGAAGGGTAGATGATGTAGTTCCATGAACTGTCAGTACTGTGCTAGTGTGTGTTGTTCCTGGATTAAGGTCTTTACTGTGGTGATCCATATACCCAGAGTAAGATGAAATTTGCAGATCTTCAGAATCTCTAACAGCTGGAAAAAAGGAAAGGCAAGTATTTCAAGACCAGTTAAGTCTGCAGGTATGGCTTAATATAAGAACTTTTTCAGAGAGCTTTACTTTCATCTTAAAGTTTTGTAGTCTTGTGCCCAAGGGGAGGTTATCCATACATGAAATAATTTAGAAACCTGATGAATCCTACTGAGACTTTGAGTAAGTTTACCTGCTGATACTTTGTTTTCAGGTTTAATTTAGCTTCTGAGAATGATGAGCATGAATATTTCTTCAGCTTTTTAAATCCTAATACCACAACTTTTAAGAAATAGTGACAAACTACTGTAGTTGTATTAATAGCTTATAGAAACTCTGCTTAGCTGTAATAAAATGGTTTGACTTCTGTCATTTCTATTAATTTTACTAATTTCACTGATTACTCTGGTGGAGCAAGTTAAATGGCAATGTTTTAATTATCATCTATTCATCGAAATTCAGTGAAACTAATAGTGTAGGACCTGATCCCTTAGGTTCTCTTAAAGATAGACAGATTTGTATGTTAAATGGTACCCAGTTTCATTATTAGAAACTTGCTTGTGTAGCAAAGGTAAAGATTAGAGCTCCTGAGTATCTTGGAAGAGAAAACACCGAAAGAACAGTTACAGTCATTGCCCTGTAGACATCAGACCTCAGATAATTTGAGCACTTTGTTCTGAGGCAATGCAGCTAACAACATCTATTTGCAGGACTGTTTTGCCAGTCATAGTTTGTTAATGCATATCAAACTGTGGATTCAGTATTTTTACACTGTGTCTGAAATAAGCTACTAAAACTACTTACCTTATTTTTTAAGCCCAAAGTGATTTTGTACACAGTGGTGTTGACTGGTTTATGGTGGCCTTTGGTGTTGGTGATTTATAAGAAACTTAGAGACACAAAAGATTCAATTTTGTAGTGGCAAATGGAAATGTATTTTTGCTGCTTTCATGAAATGCAATTGGAAGTAATAATAGCTAATTTGCAAGCCTTCCCTACCAATAGCATGATGATGGATTATTAGGATAGACTGAAGAGACGTAAAAACTTAACCAGTGGTAGAAGGGAAGTGTTTAAGACTTGGAGAAGATACTGTGTAATTTGCAGTAGCATGTTGTGGTTTTTTTTAAGGAATAATAAGTTGATGACATAGTTTACATTTGTTGTTGTACTGGGTCTGGCTGACCTGGAATTGGTTTCCCCTGTAGCAGCCTTCACGGTGCTGTGGTTCATGCTGGGAGCTGGCAGGGTGTTGATAGCACCCTGATGTGGTGGCTGCTGCTGAGCAGTGCTCACACAGCACCAAGGTTTTTTCCAGCATTTCCCCCAGTGGGACAGGGTGGGCAAGATCTTGGGAGGGGACACAACCAGGACAGCTGACCCGAACCGACCAAAGGGATATTCCAGACCATATGATGTCTGCTCAGTATAAAGCTGGGAGCAAGGAGGAAGGGGGAGGGGGAGGGGGTCACCCTTGGTCCTCCGAGGCAACCACTACGCGTATCGGAGCCCTGCTTCCTGAGAAGGCCCGACATAGCCTCTTCATGGGAAGTAGAGAATAAATCTGTTTTCTTTTGCTTCTGCGTGTGGACCTTTGCTTTGTTTTGCTTATATTGAAACTGCTTTTGTTTTACCCACAAGGGTTGGTTTATCTTACTTTCGTTTCCCTCTTTGCCCTGTTGAGAAACAAGGGGAAAAGGGGGAGGAAGTGATAGAGTGACTTGGTGGATACCTGGCATTTAGCCAGAGTCAAACCATCACAGTTGTCTCATTTATTTTACTAAGACAGATTATGCTCCTTACGTAAAAATAATTATCTGTTAGTAGGCCCAAAACATGATTTTTCTTCATTTTTCTTCTTTTCCCCCACTTTTTATACCTACTTTTTGCTGTATTAAAACTGTTGACCGGGATAAGACAGATGGCTTCAGTGACCAAAAAGCCACTTTTGCTGTGGCATTTTCTTTGATGTGGAGACTTTTTCTGTGTGGGGGGTTTTTCTTATCATTTGAAAGTGATGTCCTTAATTCTGCCCTGTTGCTGGAGTATCTTAAGTTAGTGTAATACATCAAAAGCCTGCATTGCAACTTTTTATTTTCCACAGTCAAACAAGAGGACAGATAAAGGAACTGATAATTCCTAGAAAGTAATCTAAAAATTTTTTCCTTTTGTCACTGCTTTTCTCTTAAGCCTGTTTCCTTTCTTCTTGGGTATCCCTTGAAGTTTCTGATGAAGGGTTTCTGGATTTGTTAGTACTGCCACTTCCCTGCATTTTCAATATTCAGATCAGATACTGAGTTAATTTTGAGTTGCAGGATGTGTATGATAAGCATGTTGTTCTTCAGGAATCCAGTGTATTGACTAGTTCCAGTAGAGACTGGGGAATTGGAGAAAGAGACACCCATGAAACTCCTTGGAAGCTTACGACATCCTCTCCAACTCGCTACTCAGGGACACTTGATCATCCACATTCTGGAAGATTTCTGGGAAGCAGAAGCAGATTGGTGAGAAATGTTAATGTGTAATACTTTATGGGTTTTTTAATCAGGATTTTACTTGAGCCTTCCCAGTCTGAAAAGCTGCTACAAGGGGCTCCCTGTAATGGTTCTAGATAAGTAGATCTTAGTAAGTTAAGTTGGAGGGAAACACTTTAAATTGCAGTTGAAATATTACAATGGGGAAAGCAGCAAGCTGTGTAGATGCTTGATGAACAAGTGAAAATTCTGTGCACTTTCAAACTGAAAGATGTTTGGGTATTTGTGCTAAGTGGTGTGGGGAGAGAGAAACTTGAGTGGAGTTGCTGGCCTTCAGGGGAAGTCATGGTAGGTGTCTCGATGTATAGTTGAAATGCAAATGGAGTCTGTGGTTGTAAGTGGCCTACATACCTAGTTAAGTTGGGCTGTAGAATTTTCAAAATTATACATTTTTTTCCTGTTATTTTTTCTCTTAAGCTCAAATGCAAGTGAACGTTGCAGAAGACACTCTGAAACTTCCTCTTATCAGATAGCAAATGATTAAAAGTTAAGTTACATGTTAAGCAGATGACTCATGAGGGAAATTAACCTGGCTTTTTGTCATGTTAGTTTCTGTGTCTTCCCATCTGACTTTTATGATGGGGTAAGAGAAATACTTAGATACTTCTTAAAGAGTGAAAAGTAGGGGCATAAGCTTAGTAAAAAATGTAACAAAACAACTTTAACATCTACTTGAATTTGGTTGATCCTTATAGGATCTTGGTTGTAGATATTTTCTAGGGGGACAGACAGCTCAGTTGGTCTTTTGATTGAGCTCAAGATTTTTGTATCAAAAAATTAAATCAGAAGATTTCAAATAGAAAATTAATGCCTTATCTGCAAGTAACCAGACTAACAACTTCATAGGCTATTCCATATTTTTTTTTTTTACTAATTTCCAAAACCTGTACTTATTCTTTACTCTGAACTCTTAGAGTTGCACTTTATTGTAATCAAAATATATCTGGTCTAAACAGCTTACTAGAAGCTGGAGCTAACTTCTTAACTAAGTATATTTTTAGATTGGTAAAAAGTAAGCTGGATTAGTAAAAATGAAGCTGATTAGTTTGGGCCATTTCTGGACAGAAAAATTAGGTTTCCTTGGAGATCTGTAAAGCCATATTTGATCATATTTATAACATTTTGCAAGTCAGGAATAACTCTTTTCCCCTGTAAGCCACACATATGTATAAAGGAAAAATAATGGTGATTGTAACAGAAACCAGCTTTTGTTGGTAGAATTATCTTGAGTAAACATGGGCATACTGATCAAGAGCACAAGCACATTCTATTCTTAAATAAAAAGGTTTTGCATCTTAAAGTTATTCTTTACAATTTTTGTGAGTCTTTATGTACACTTTTGTTCAGAATACTTATATCTGAAATATGGTGTCATATTTTCTTCTAATGTTATTTCAGTCTACATCGTCTTCTTCTCATTTTACATCTGGGTGTTATGGTGAGTCTGAGAGAACTCAGGGAGCATATTCAAGACTGCATAGCCAGCAGCGAGATAGTGATTCAAAGAGACCTAAGCTATCTTGTACATCTACCTCTTCTGTGAGAAGTAATGGCTTGACTGCCTTTTCAGGTGAGATAGAGGTGAGTTACATGAAAATTGTCAGAGTAGTAAGATCAGGTTTTATCAAGTTTTAAAACACATGTTTTGAAATATGCTTTTATTATTGTAAAATATTTAAAACCTATGCCTAACAGAAGAGTATGTTCACACTGATAGCAGTGTCCAAAGTACTGAGAATGCTGTTAACATGGTCTTTTGAAAACCCAACCTATACCTGTTGCATTTACAGTAACGCTCAACTTCATGGCTTGGATATGTCTTAATTGGTTAAGATTACAAGGAAAGGATGAGTGCAGCTGCTGTTATTTCATGAGTCAAATTGTGTTTGTGAGCCTGTGTGCACCAGGGATAGGAGAAAGGAAATCTTCATGTTACTTAGCATTGTGTTCCAAGAAGTGCAGTGTCATGGCTGGTTAGAGCACTGTTGTTACAGCTCTGTGAAGAAAGAGTTCTTAGCAAGGCCTAAACTCATTCTATAGACCAGGCAAAAAAGAAACATTCTCTACTAGGAGCTCTTTCAGGAAGAATGGAGATTTTCATTAAAGCTGTTAATAAATATGTGACACTTGGATAAATGTCAGTTAAGCAGTATGCTGACAGAAGTCTAAAGGTCAGGAAATAATGGTCAAAAACTTTTATTGAAAATAGTTTTGTATTGTTTTGAAACAGACCATTAGAACCATTCAGATTACCCTTGTGAGTGTACATCAGTGTACTTCTTATATCTGCCTATGGAACCACATAGCCATTCAAAGAAAAGTTAATAAATTCTTGCTCAAAGCCTGGTCTTGTTGATGCTTTCTTGCTCTTTGTTAATAAAATGACCACCTTTAACACTTCTCATGTTATAGGACTGTCTGTCTTTTCATTTCTAGATTGGTTAGTCATTACACTGCTGACCAATGAATGCTTAAATTTGGATTTCTAAGTTAGCAGTAAAACAAAATCAAGGTGGATTTTTCAGAGCCATTGAAGAACACTTCTTTTTTTTGTTCACAGCTGAAGTTTCCTCTAGTTGTTGAAGCTGTTAGCAAAAAAACAAGATCCCTTTTTAAACTGAATTGTTTTGCTCTGTAGTATGACCAAGAACAGTATTATTAGTCATTGTTCTTAAAGTTGTGTCTAAGCTACATTTAAGCTTTAACTGTCTTTCTGGAAAATGAATTTTAGGAATATTTAAGAGGCATCATTAGAATGGCAGCATTTACTAAGTCTCAAGCTGCTGTTTTTGCTATGTTGTGAAGCTTATTTAATAACTAGCTACCATTAGGAAGCAAGATGCTTCCTTATCCTGTTCTGTATGAGTGAGTGTTAATGGGTCTGACTCTTCACAAAAGTATTATTACTTTTTTCCAGTTTAGCTTTCGGAACTAACTCATGGCAAGAGTAAATAAGTGCCAGCATCAGCAGAGTGGTGCTTATTCTTAGCTTTATGTTGGCAGGTGGCTACTTCATCAGCTTACTGGTATTGTTAAACTCACCCTTGATGTGCTATAACCAGAATGCATGCATGAACACCAGCTTTAATGGATTTTAAAATTACTACAAAAACTAGAGATTTATTTACCTTTTGTTCCTAGATTCCCCTTGGAGGTACAGTAGGATCCCTAGATCTTCATCAGTGATGCTTGGCTCGCTTGGAACTGAGCTGGTGAGAGAGCGAACAGAGTTAGAAAGAAGAACAGATCTGTCTGTTAATAACCTGATGGATCACAGCTACAGAAATAGTGACTTTTCATCTTCAACATGTATGTATTGTACAGCTGAAAGCTTGTAAACCCATAGGTTGCATGTCTGTTAGTTTCTTCATGTGTTCTTTTAGTATTTTCTTCAAAACAGAAAGCCAACATATGTATTTGATTTTAAGGTATCCTTTTAAATAAAGTTGGTTGGCCACTTGCCATGCAATAGCTAAACCATCAATGGATGTATGAATGGTGTAACTTGTAGATGCATTCAGTTGTAAGAAAATGGTATTGGTGTCTGCCACTGTGACTGTGTGAGTAGTCAGTAAGCCTCTTTTCTTGTTAAGATCTATTTGTATTTAGGTATGGGAACAAAAATAATGTTAATTTCACTCAGGAAAGGGTTTTCAAGGAGGTGCCCATATTGTATTGTTCTCTTTCCATTTGGGTTCTGGAGTGGTTATTAAGGAAAACTGCTAGACCACTGAAAATAAAAATGAATAAATGCATACTTTACAGGAAACGAGAGGTTTGTTCCATGGTAACTGCTAGGACTAGTACAGACTTCTGCACTGTGATTTTCACTTTCTATTCACAGTGTTGTAGCTTTTTACAGCTGTCTCAGCAGGAGAGAGAAAGAACCGCCTCCCTAAACTTGCAGGCCACTGGGAAGGAAGCATGGAGTGATCAAATGTACACTTAAAAAGCAGGGAGGATATAAGTGTGATGCTAGTTATCTAATTTACTGTAGGTAGTCAAGGTAATAGGGAGAACAGATGAGATCACTAAACCGAAATGGTTGAGTCTGATCATGCTTAAACCAGTTGCATAGTTGAACACGTGAAGTAGATTAGTTGTTGCTCTTACTTTGGCAGGAACAATAGCTAAATAAGCCTTTTGGGCTGAAGCAGTGGAACAGTAGTATTTCTAGGGTATTCTTTTTATTTTTGAATTCTTGGTTTAAAACATTACAGTAATAAGATACACATTTATATACTATTTAATTTCTGTTACCCAGAGTTAGTAATCTTACTCTACCTTTCAGCAGTGTGTGTAACTGCAGCTCTTGATGTTCTTATGAGAAGAATAATAGTAGCTTGTTGTAATAGATGGGAACTGTACTTTTGGAGGTGTTACATTCCAAATGGATTTATGAGACTGAAGCCAGTCTAGGTTTCAGTTTAACTTTAGAGTTCTGGTGATTAAGTTTAAACTTAGTATTGTACTGGGATCTAACTGCCAAATCTGAAACAATTTTCATTAAAGATAATGAAATCATGAACTTCTGCCTTTACACTTTAGTTAGTTATCTGGAAAATAACAACTACAGCACATCCTGTCATAGTACTTTCCTCTGCTTTTCTGCAACAGATCTTCAAGACAGGCCCGCCTCTTCATATGCAGAGGGAGCAAGACCAAAAGAGAACTCATTAAGCACTTTGAGGCTGAATGCATCCATGAACCGCCAGTTGCCTTCTGATCATCAGCCATCTTTTTTCAACAGAGACTCTAACGTGAGCTCTTCAAGATCCAGCTATTCTTCAAGACAAAGGAGAAGTGAATTGGAATCTCCCCAGAGGAGCACACAGCCAGCATTTTCTCTTACTGCCATTAGAGATGAAACTCCTTCAAGTGGTTCTGAAAGGGTTTTGTCTTCTCAGAGGTCATTGAATGAGCCTGCAGCTGACAGTGAAGGGAGGCGTACAACCAGACAGCTGCTGTCTCGTTTAGCATCTAGTATGTCATCTACATTTTTCTCTCGAAGGTCTAGCCAAGACTCTTTGCATACAAGATCATTAGGCTCTGAAGAGTCAACAGTACTCCCAAGACTTCAAGCTTCTACTCTGTCAAGCAGTAATGGAGCTGCAACTCCAGAAGTTCCAGGACTTCAGACATCTGAAGCTTCTCAGGGCTTTAGTTTTCTTAGACGAAGATGGGGTTTATCAGGAGTTTCCCAAAATCATAATTCTGATTCGGATGGAGAAAGTTACAGACCAGAATCTGAAAGTAGGAGCACAGGATCCTGGTTGTCATCATCTTTGAGGAACAGATGCACGCCTCTCTTTTCCAGAAGAAGAAGAGAAGGAAGAGATGAATCCGCAAGGATCTCTACCTCTGATACAACTGCTAGATCACAACATGTCTTCAGAAGAAGAGAGTCAGGTGAGGAGACTTCTCTTGAAGCATCAGATAGCCCTCCTCGGGCTTCTGTTAGCAGACCACCAACACCTGCAGTATCTGGTATTCCTACAGCTACTGCCTCCCCACCAGATTCAGCCCACAGTAGGAGAAGTTCTGGAATTCTGCCTGGTTCTCTCTTTCGCTTTGCAGTGCCTCCAACATTAGGAAGCAGTCTGTCTGACAATCTTATGATAACTGTAGATATTATTCCCTCTGGCTGGAATCAGTCTGATGGTCAAGAAAGTGGCAAATCGAAAATACCACCTTCAAGAGATCCAGAAAGACTCCAGAAAATTAAAGAGAGGTAAATTAGTATGTTCTTTTGAGATACTAAGATGTACCTGACTTAACATGAGGTTTTTATGTAACCATGATGCTAAAAGGAAACTTCAGAGAAACAAACTTATTTTAATCCTTACAGGTTTGAGAACAGTTCAAATGGAATTGTCTTTATAAAAAGTCTTACCTGAAATGTGTCAGTGTTTGTTGATACTCCTTTCTGTGCAGCCTGCTTTTAGAAGATTCTGAAGATGAAGAGGGTGACTTATGCAGAATCTGTCAGATGTCTTCTGCGAGTTCTGACAACCTTTTGATAGAGCCATGCAAATGCACTGGAAGTCTGCAGTATGTTCACCAGGAGTGCATGAAAAAATGGCTGCAGTCCAAGATTAATTCAGGTAAAGCAGACTCGAGACCGACGTAGACTTCCAGTTATATTGGGAGGCTTAACAGGAGGAGTACTCTTACAAATACTATGGTATTTATTTGAAAAACAAGCAGCTGGGGACAAACAGCAGTGTGACACTTGCAGGTTTATTGTGTGTCTGTGCAGCTTCTTATGTAAGTAGTTCCAAGAACTGTATTTATCATTCAAGGAATTACGTTTTTGGGATTGTCTGCTGAGATAATAGATAAAATGTAACACTGCTGAAGTGTAGCTTTAGACCTACTCTACCACTTTGAGTTTGTTCCCCACCCTTCCTTGTGCATGTGGTTCTAGTTTATAAGAGATCTATAGCCAGGCTGACTGTAGCAGCGTGGTAGGAAATTGAAAATACAAAAATATTTTTCTTTTTTAACTATACTTAAATCTCTTTAAGATCTAATTTCTGTTCAGGACACTTAAAACTTTTTGTTCAAAAAATTACTTCAAAGTGCATACAAAATTTTTCTAAAGAAATGCTTCAGAAGTAGCATACTGTACAAATGGTTTTGTGATTAATTTTTCATAAACTGGTCAATTTTCTGTAGTGTTTTTAAGGCTTAAAAATAGGTGGCTTTGTAGAAGGCACGAAGATTGTAGAATACTTTTTATCAAAGGAAGGGGCTAGTATCTGTTTACTTTTTTACTCAGTATCAGAGGAGCCACATCAGAGTAGGGATGTATTAGAAGCCCCAGTCCCTAGCAGAAATTAATTTTCAGTATTTAACTATATAAAACATAAATCCACCATAAACTTGCTTATGGAGCAGCTTGTTTTAAACCTGGTACTGTAAGACAAAATATTACTCTGGCAATAACTTCAAGCTATTCCAGTATATTTATTACTACTTTTATATGAATTTGGATTACACTGTAGAATTCAAACAGCCCAAGCAGTGATTTTATGCCAGACTTCAGTAACAGGCATATGGTGTCCAGAATGAATGAGAGGCAAAATAGATGGAGTTGGATAGAGAATAAATGTTCTATAGCATTTAAATTGTGAGCGTAGCAGGTAGTCACTACATTTGTATTAGAGGCTTTCTTTTCTTCTAACTTTCCACTGCAAAATAAAGCCAAGAATTAGTTAGACTTTCCAATGCTTGTATAATTGTGTTCGATGTTGTTGTTGCAATTTGACACTGACTTGCCTCTGCCTTTCCCCACCAGGTTCTTCTTTGGAAGCAGTAACAACTTGTGAGCTGTGCAAGGAGAAGTTGCATCTGAATCTGGAAGACTTTGACATTCATGAACTCTATAGGGCACATGCAAATGAACAAGTTAGTATATTTTGCCTAATTTGGTAAGTGTTGGTTTAGTGCTGGCAGGGCGCTCTCCTTTAGAGAAGGAAAATGCATCTTCTTTTCAGAAGAACTGTTAAGCACATAAACTAATGTCAACATGGAACTAATTTTTCTGCTCAATATTCAAACAAGTTCTATCTTTCTGCTGTGCTTCCTATAGCTGAGCTTTCAGTAAGTGTAATACATCTCTTAATTTTTCCTTAGTTGCAGATCTGTCATCTAGCTTTGCAGTCCCATGTCTCTGCCACAGATGTATAGTAGGAGTATTAGTATGATTGGATTGAATTTCAGATTAAGTCATGAATGGTCTTTGCTTTTAGCTGTTTTTTAACACAAAAAAAGTGGTTGTTCTACCATTAGAAACTTCTTTTGTGTCATTAGAGTGATAGAATAACTCTTTTCTAACAGCTTCCCATTGCTCCTTCAAGTCTTTACTAAATCAAAAATAAGTAAAAGCCTATTAGTGTTACATGCAATACATTATTTTAGAACTACTGGGTTGTGTCATATCTAAAAATGAATAAATAATAAAAAAGCTGGTGTTATTTTAATCAACTTTATTCAGAGGGTTTTCCTTATTCTGTGAACATAGAAAGACAATTGAAATTTGCCTAGGTCAGAAGTTGAAAGTGAATACAAAGTGACACCAGTTTGGGAGCCAAACATCAACCTCTAATTTTCTTACTATTCAGAGTAAACTCCTACCCTAGTACTCTAGTTCCTGTCACTTGGGCCAGACTCTGAAAAGTCTGTCTCGAGTGCCATCGTCTTACGTTTTAGCACTACTGATTGTTGGTTGCTGTCACCGTACTTCGATAGAAATAAGAGCTTTGAAACTTTCTCCTAAAGAATTGGCTCTAAACGAACACTTCAGCAGTAGCATTTTGAAAGTTTAGCTTAGCAGGAGAAAATATCTCAAAATATTTGTAACATCAGACAGTTCTTACATTTCCCTTTCTTTTTTTTAAACTTTCTATAAAGCACTGGGACCACTGAAGAGAAACTAGTGAACTTTGTTTTTATTTTCCCCGGCAGTACAATACTCAGATTCCTTCCTGTGAACTAACCATGCTGACAGAAATTTTGTTTGTAGAACTTCTATTTATCTTCAAGGATAACGTGTTAGCTCTGGGGAGGGTGGAAAGAACCAGAAGTATAAATAGCTTTTCGGTATTTAAAATTTTTTAGTATTACATTTCCCTAATTCTCTTGGAACAACTAGAGATCAAATATGTAATATTTCCAGTAAAATTTAATTCTTGTACTACTTCTTTAATTGTATATGCAGATGCATCACTGACATTCTGAATATTTCTTTTAACCTCCTTTAAGGCAGACTATGAATTTATCAGCTCCGGTCTCTACCTTGTAGTGTTGTTACACTTATGTGAGCAGCGCTTTTCTGATATGCTAGGAACTGCAAGTGAGGCCAGCACACGTGTCAGAGTAAGTATGCAGTGATTTTATGGCAGGAATTGCTCATGCAGACTACTTGGAACTTGAGTGACCTACGAGCTACATAAGCAAGAAGCATGTTTATTTAGCAAATTTAGGTCTAAAATGGTCTGGGTTTGCCAAGGCAGTGACACCATGTTTAATTTGAAACTGAATGTACTACTTTATTGGAGCTACTGTGTTGCAAAATTATTTTTGTCAAGGTTCTTAGTAATTCATTGCTTTACATGTGTACTGTCATGATTATTGTAAATTTATGCGAAACTGGAAGGTTAACCTCCCTCTGTACAAAACATGCAGTTGAGAGAGTTGGATTGTTTTATTCGATTAATTGTTCTTATTATGCCGCTCTACATTGCAGAGGTGTAGACCTTGCAGTGCTTGTCTGCAGGGTTGTGCCTAAATATGTACTTGAATATTACGTTTGGACACTGACTAGCTATAGTATGATTTTCTGGCATTAGTCAAAACTCTTAGTTGCATTTGACTTGATTCCCGTCACTTAAATTGCTTGGCTCAGAAATGCAGTAAGTACACATTTGACCAGTAAGAGATCATCATGCAAAGTTTTATTTCTGCATAGTGACTTATTCAGAAATCCTTTATTCTACATGCTCGTTTTATACTAGATAATGAATTAGTGCTCTTTGTCAACTGAGCTTTTGAAAAGCTGCTCTTTTTTTTTTTTTTAATTATATACAAGGAATTGTCAATATTAAGCTTGTCTAATGGTTATTGGAATGGTTGCTAGAAGGTACTAGGCCTTAGGGGTAGAGGCAGGACTGTGCTCTAATCTCTTACTATATTAGAACAGTGGTCCTCTTTTCAGTGCACATTTAATGCATAGCTTGTATTCCATGATGCACAAATGAAATGTCCAGTTTTCTCTGTTGCAAGTGTAGAGAAATAAAAATCATGTAACTGAATAGTAGCCAGCTTCCAGTACAGGTTATTAGTTTGAGTGTATTGCAGAAGTAAGGTGTGTTTACTGTTTTCTCATCAGAGGCAGCATTACACAGTTGTGTGACACTACATTTTAAACTCGTGAGAGCACTGTGTGATTGATACCAAGCATACAACTGTATGGAAACTGTAGCGTTAAATTTCTGTTTTATTTGCTGTGTCTCAGTACTTGGACTGTCACTGAACCAGAGAAAAACACCTGTCTGAGACTTTCAAAGTTGCCTAAGGAACTTGTATTCTTAGGGATTTTTGGTTCTGAATCCATGTGCCTAATAGTAATCCTGCTCTTAAACTTTTTATTTACAGTTAAAATCTTAAGTGTATTTATGCATTTTTTCATTAACCTCGTTCAGAGGGCTCTGTTTTGTCAAGTGAAGTAAATGAAAGGGATCCAAATAATGTAGTCCTTACAGATTATCTGCATTACAATTTATAGCAACAGTTTTCATAAAACTGGCACTTGTTTGTGTGTGCTACTTGCAAAATCAATGTGTTTTACAGACAGTAGAACATGAAGATGATGCCACAGACTGCTACCAGAAACATTTGACATAGAGAGTGGAAGCTGAAATAACTGTGCAATAGCAATTTGAAGTCTAACATGGGGATTTGTATTAAATTTTGCATTGACTTCTGTAAGGTGGGCAAATGGGTTAGGATAACCGACATCTGGGATGAAGCTTTGGGATGGAAAAAGTCAAGAAAACTTTGCTAACTTGTTGCAAATTTCTGCAGATAACTTTGCAACTTTTAAACTACTTTCTCTCTGCCTTGTTTCTAGTTTATTAACCTTGCAAGAACTCTTCAGGCACATATGGAAGATATTGAAAGTAGGTGCTTCCCCTCTTCCCCTTCCCTCCCATTAGATCAACTCGAAAGTTAAATGAGTACAATCCTCCTTGCCAAGATTCCTAATACTAAACTTAATTACTTAAAATTTTACTTTACCCAACAGTGCTTTTTCCATTATCAGTAGAATTATTCCAAGGGAGAACTGGTTTTAATTCTCCATGATTAATTTCCCAACAGCACAGTTATTTAGACTACATAAGTGTTTTCTGCAAGTGATAACAAGATTCCTCACTAGTTACAGTTTGATGGTTGTAATTCTACTACTAGTTATGGAATTGGTGGTGACCTTCAGATTCTAGCCTCGTACATGAATCCTAGTGGAAAAGAAACATTTAAAGTTGAATTTCACTGTACTTCAGTTCCCATACTTTCCTTGCCACTTCCTCTTCTCCCTCTTCTGTTTGTTTGTTTTTTTTTTTTTTTTGCCTTCCCCCCCACTCTTCTTTTTTTCCATCTACTCCCCTTTCATTTTTCTCTATCCACGCACACTCTGGTTGTGTGTATTCCTTGATCAGTTCTATCTGCTTCAGGAATGAAATGTAACATTTGACAATTTTCACAAAAGACTAGCCTGCTTTTCACCTAATGGCTTTTTCAGTCTGCTTACATTCAAAACTGTATGCTGACTTTTGATAGATGTATCCTGAATTTGAGTGTTATTTCTGGGCATGATGAATAGGCAGAGAAGGGTAGTAGATCTGCCTTTTTTTTTTTTCTCTTTTTCCCAGTGGGCATGTGAATGTCAGCATTCAAAGTTTGTGTATGAATTTTCAGTGCATAGGACATATTTGGGGTACAATAAGGAATTGGGGGGGGTGATGTAAGTTCTAGTTCAAGGAGCAATCGATGATTTCTACATTCAGAATGGACAAGGGTAGACTTGAGTTCACAAATTATTCTTAAGTTATGTGTATTCTTATTAGAGTGAAAATCTTAGTGCCGTTTTACACCATAATGTAATCTGTATTTGGTTCAGGTTTTATCTAACTTGCAGGTGAGGAATACTTAGATTCATTATTGATTCTACCTTAGTTATATATCTTTTAAAAACTGGAGAAGTAAGGAGACAGACCTTGCTTCATTTGGTGTTGAGAGATGGAACAAGTTGCATGAGTGTAAATACTTCTTTGACGGCAGAGTTTGCTTAAGAGGACAGATGAAATTCCTGTTACGGACAAGATACCACTTTATTAACCTATTGTAGATGTACATACTGACTTTTTTTATCATAGTTGACAAGTGTGTATTTGTCTCTTAATTTACCTTGCAACAACAAAATCCTATGCATATGTGGGCTTTATGTTCATTTTGCATATGCTGAAAGAATGGGTACAGAGAGACAAGCTGCTTCCAAGTAGGCCTGACTTAACTGCGTTAAGCAACATACATATAAAAAAAACTTTTCTAAGAGTCTTTCTGTTTGTTTAGACTGCTGAACCTTTCTAGATACTTTAGTTTCCAAATTGTTAACTTTGTGAGTCGTTTCTTTTCCTTACGTGCTGCTGTCATGGATTGAATGTATTCTCCTCTGACTACTGTTGGAATTAGCCACTGTAAAAACTACATAAAAGTTGAATCTCTGGCGTAATTAACTTTTCTTCCTTTTATTGTGAGGAAGAACAGCAGGAGGACATTGCATCTTGTAATGTCAAATTTTGACTTGAAAATGCTGTATTTTTCAGACATGAGATGCATTAAAAATTAAGCTCTGTAACTACACAAGGTTTGTAATATTAAATATTACAAAATCACTTTTATTTCTACTACTCATCTTGAAGTGCCTTAATTTTGCAGACCTGATTATACTGTGTTGTTCCAACAGCTTCTGAGGATGACTCTGAAGACTGATGGTGTTAGAACTTTCATACTGCAAGAGACAAATGGAATTGCTGCAGAAATGCTGAACTGTCAAGAACAACATCAACATGCATTTGGGTTTTTCCTCTCCTTAGTAAAAAGCGTGTTGAATATTACTGTATTCTTTGAAGCATTGTTGAATTCAAAATTAACTGCTGCACAGTGGAACTCAGTGGACTTGAGAACTACTCAGCATGTGTGAAGATTAGATACATTTAAAGCAACTTCCCTTGTTTTGAAAGACATCAGATTTTGAATACTTAAGGAAGCTGTATCTCCCTTTGTTTCCTTATCACTGTAGTCAGATTTCTGGTTTTGTCTATCGAGTTTTGCTCCTCTACTGGCACTAAGTGGTTATAGTGGGTTTCAGGGTGAGGGTGGGCAGGGAGGGTGGGGATGTCCGTATACTTAAATAGGTTTTGTTTGGGTTTTTTTAAATGCCTCTGTTGCCGCATCATATAATAACTGATTGCTTCCAGTGTTAATGAATGAACAGGAGGATGAGCAAGATAGAGATTGTTTGGGGTTTGGTTTATTTGAAGATTATTCAACTCAAAAAGCAATAAGAACTTGCAGTGGTCTTCTGATACTTAGTGTTAGTGGTGACTTTTTTATGTACTGGTTTGGAAATTGGAGATTATATTTGATATTATGTGGCTGTTCCATTATAGAATACTGCAGGCGTAAACTCTTGCATTTCAGCATTCCCGGCAGATATGCAACTTGATAAAGACCTAAGGTTGTTTAGTTTAATCAGAGTTTTTTAGATCCCACCTTCACTGTTCAGAGCACTGGCGATCAATGTGTTTTCTAGTGTTGTCACTTCTTTATAAATAAAGACGATAGAGGTATGCATCTCTACTGGTATTGTCCATTTTATTTAAACATGGATATCTACCAGAACTTACACTTGAAAACTTAGAAAGCTATAGTCTGTGTTATATCTTTACTAATGTTTGTAAATTCTTATGCAGATATTTAAGATTGTTTCTGACCATTTTGGATTGAAATGCTTTATATGAATGGTGGTTCAATAAATTGTCATACATGTATTTGATTTGTATTTGCTATAAATATTTGTTTAATTACTACAGTAACTGTGTCTGCAAAGAGTGTAGTATCTTATACTTTTAGTTTATTATTACAGTATGTAAAACTTTTATAAGAAAGATGTGCCTCAACAGCTGAAATGAACTCACGCGATTGAGTTAAGGTGGCTAGCATTTCATGAGAAGCCCTGTCATCTGTAAGACTGGAAAGAAAATGGAATGCTAAGGAAATTCAACATTGCTGTGCATACTCTGGTAACCTTAGGCAGTGGGTATTCAGTGCCAAAACTCAGAAGTATTCCAGCAGTCACTTGAAATACAGCTGTCTGTCAGATGTTCAAGTGAAAGTCCATGCATACGTGAAAAAGTTTCTAACTCATTTCTGAAGAAAGTGAATTCAGGTTTAAAATAAAATGTGTGATCCTTTCTGAGTTAGTTGGTATAGCTTAATAAAACATCATACAGTGAAGCAGACAGTATTTCATAAGCGCTCAGTACATTTAGAGTTCCAAGCGTGAGCTTTGATAGCCTAAGAAATTGGTGACTTGAAGTTCTGTTCCTGTAGCAAATAGCATTAGATTGAGGAGAGCAATTGAAGTATCTGCAGTTCTGCACACAAATTTGGTTCGTGTGAGTTGTCGCCTTGTCCTGCAGCCCTGCGGAGCTCCAGGGCAAGAGGAGGAGTGATGTGGGGAGGATCATGCTGGAAGCGGTGAGGAGCAGAGGGTCTGAATGGAGCAGTTGAGAAGAATTCTGCTGCCCCCCCCTTAGCTGCCTCCCCTGAGGAGAGCTCTGCCTTGCTGAAGGGTTGAGGCTGGGAGCAGCCAGGATTTGTTGCTTTCCATAGGCCTGTGCTTGAGAGATCTGTCGGTGGGAGCATCTTCCTGTGCAAGCCCTCGTGGGTCTGTGCGTGTGTGTCTGTCAGCACAAAGCACAGACATGCTGATGACAGGGTCTGTGCAGGCACATGTTTTTCTTGTCTTCTGGTGCTCTCAGGCTGGCACGGTTCTTGCCCTGGGCTTAGGGACACAGGGACTGGTCATAGCTTGGTGCTGTGTTGGGTTGTTCCCAGGTGGACCTGAAGAGAAACCTGGCAGCTGCAGGAATATATCCTGGTTAGCTGATGTGGTTTTTGTTGAGGATGGATTCAGAGCCCCAGTCCTCTGAAAGCTGAGTTGAGGGATCAGGGACCATTGCCCTACAGTGTGTAACCTTGACTTCAGTTAGAAAGAGACTTTACCAAACAGAAACCTTTCTCGAGGAAGTTTAACTTTATGAACTTCTCATCAGAGCAGATCTTCAGAGCTGATCTATTTGGCAGTAGTACTCTTGGGTGGTGCAGCTGGCCAGATGTCCCTGCTAATTTGGGAAAACACCTCGTCAGGTGGTAAGTGTATTTTGGAGACAAACAGTCTAATGGCATCAGCTCACAGCTGTGCGAGTTCAGGGAATGCAAAAGGAAAATCAAATACCTAATAAAAATACTGCTATAAGCATATGCCCAGCTGTATACTAAAGAGTGAAGGGCTGAGCTTTGTTCTTGATTTTTTTTTTTTGTTTTGTTTTGCTCTTTAAAGTTTTACACTTCACTCCTGATGTCACTGACCCAGGAGCAGCACAAGGGCTGTGGCTGTCGCGGCGGACCCATCAGCCGTAGCTTCTGGTGGTGGTGTGGCCTCATCCTGCACCTCGCAGGGCTCCCTCCCTGCAGCCCTGCTCTAAGAACAGGACGAGACGCTCGGACAGCAGCAAGAGCATTTGCTTTTACGGGCAGGGTGTGCTCAGGGCTGTATCCCTTGGCCTTGCTGGTGATTTGGGGAGTTGAAATCACTCCGGCCTTGCCAGGGTGTGTTGTCTGTGGAGTTGACCTGTTCACGTAGAGTCCTTCCTCCCCAAGCTCCACTGCCATCCTGACCCTTATTCTGATGGAACTTTATTCTGTTTTTTTTCAAGATACCGGAACAGGATTTGGGGTTTTTGTTTTTCAGATGTGTTGTAAGCGTCTCCTGAGGCTTGACAGGTCTCCCCGCGCCAGGTTTGCCTGCCAGCCATTAACCCCCTGACAGCGGGGCCAGCCCTGTGTCGCTGCCACGGCACAAAAATACCCCAACCACCCTGATTCTGGGTCTGCCCCCCCCCCCGCTTTTCTTTTTGTAAAAAACCCTTCATGTAGGGTCTCCTAGGAAAGCCAAACCTGTCTGGATTGGTGCAGCCGGAGACCAGAAAACCCACTATTTTAATGCACTAAACCAAGAATCACTGATTTTGATGTTATGGAGAAGTACTGAAAAAAACCAAAATGGAATATTTTGGAAAAGCAAAAAAACCTGCCAGACCCAATTTGAGGAAAATTAGGGGTGAGAGGCCTGCTGTTTGAGGGGCAGTGCTGGGGGTTCTCTGGTATGGATTTTCTGGGGCGGGCCAGTTCTTCAGAGTGGATCATCTGTTGGGGTTGTCCCAGGTGAGTGATCTGCTGCTGGTTATCACAGGGGGACCCCCGGTGCGGGTCATCCCCACCCATGTGCCCCCACGTGTGTCTCTACCTGCATGCAGACCCCCCTGCTGTGTCCACCCCAGGTTTCCCCAACCGTGAGGTTTTTCTCCCTCACAGAAGATGGGGGTGTGGTGGTTTTGTCTTTTAAATTACTAAACTATTTCTATCCCAACCCATGAGTTTATTCCCTTTCCCCTTCTCTCCCGTCCCGTTGGTGGGGGCTGTGAGCGAGTGGTTGTGTAGAGCTCAGTGTCCAGCTGGGCCCAAACCATGACACAGGGTTAGTTGCCAGCCCTGTCCAGCTGATGATTCAGGCTCTCCTTGTTCCGGCCACCATCCCGACGGGCCGTAAGTAGCAGCGCTTAGGCCGTGCTGTGGACCCATCTGCTGCCCGCTGGGTCACAACTGCCAGAGAGAAAGAGCAAAATGGCCCTGGCACACTCTGTAGCTGTTCTGCCTCTGCAGGGACCCGCAGGCCCATTTCTCTTGCCCCTTCCTCTGCCCGGCTGGGCTGCTACAGGCAGCCGCTTTCTCAGACAGCGAGTCACCAGGACGGCCACAGGCTGCTGCACGCTTCAGCTGGAGGAAGAGCCCCCGGTGCAGGGCAAGGGAGGGACGTTCTGCGCTGCCTATGGCTCTTCGCGGGGGGACTGTGCCCTGGTTTCAGCAGGAAAAGTTGTCGGTCCCAGGCAGCCGCGTGTTGCTGTGCACAGCTATTCAACCAGTGTCTTGCTTGTTGGAGAAAAGGCATATTTCTGGGCAAAGGTCGTATAGATGAAGTATCTCTTCTTCCTCGATGAACTTTTCACCCTGTTGCTCTGTGCAGCCTCAGTTGTTCCCTGGGCCCTGGCCAAACCGCCAGGCCAGTTTGTGCTGGAATCTAGGGTGATTTGCTGCTGGAACATACAACTTCAAGGACCAGAAGAAATTTCTCTTTGAGCTAGGAGATTGCAGCCTAGTAACGTTATCACCACCTGGTATGTCTTTGCGAACAGCCCCATGCGCCTCCTTTTGGTTTTGCACAAGTCTTGCACCATCCATCTAAGATTATTTAGACTCCCCGTCTCACGTTCCTGGTATAAACCCGTGCCCAGCTCCCTGTGCCATTCTCTCCTGCTCCGTGGCCTTTTCCCTTTCACCTTGTAGCCCATCCCGATCCCTCTCCCTTTCTCAATCTGTTGCTCTCTCATCCCTTCAATCCCTCTGTCGTCTTGACAGTCCCTTGCTCTCCCTCCTTCCCACGTTCCTTTCTCCCTCAGTTGATGTCTGTCTTCCTAGTCTCCACTCATCATTATCTCTCTTCCTCTATCTTGCTCCTTGACCCTGTTTTGCTTCCAACATGTACCTGTAGATCTCCCCCCTCCTTTCCTAGTGATTTCACCATCTCTAATTCCACTACAGCCTCTCATCCCTTTTTGGCTTCCCAGCCTTTTTCGAACATTAATGCCCATCAGAACCTGCACCACCTTCCAGCATCTCCT